CATTAAGGTATAATAGGAGCATAGCGGGAAATGCACTTGGAAGGAACTCCCATACCACCTCCCAGATGGTGGGGCCTTAGAGGAAGACCCCCTTTGGAATTTCCAAAGCCCCATACAGAGGTGGTAATCCCGAAGAACTCCGCCACAATCTAAATTTTGTGGCCGCTGAGTATTCTTCTTTTTATTTAAGAGTAATTAAAAGGCAAAATATACTATAGATAAGATATAAGAGAAATTCTTTAGGATAACAACAAGTATCATTTTATTAAGTTTGTATAATTTGAGTTGGAGTTTAAGGAAAGAAAAAATAGTGTGTTAAGCGTGCACTGGCAATGAGGGGGGAAATCATTTAGTTTCTATAACCATTATAACTTAACAGCCATTGCCAGTGATATGGTGTATAAGAGGTTGTAATAGATTATACAGCATTATAAAAAGTGTGATTTATGTTGTAAGCATGTGACAAGGAAAATAAAAAAATTATTTAAAAAATCTCTTAAATCAGCAGATTTGAGGAGATTGGGTGACCATCACACTCTGGTAGGGCGGTGGCTAGAACGGTCAATCCTCTTTTTAAAGTACTGGGGCTGTTAGCCGAATTGCTTTATTTACAGCAATTGGCAATTTATAAATGGGTTCTTGCCAACCATACCAAGGTCCTGTTCCCACCAAGGGTTACCAGAGAAGGATAATGAGGCTGTTGTTGTTAAAATAAATGTCTTTTACTTAAAGAATAAATCTCATACAAACAATACTGATGCACTCACACATTCAATCAAGTTCCTTAGAATTACAGTATTAAAATAAGCACGGTTGCACTAGCAGGTGGGGGTGATGATGGGCAATACTTATCTGTCTTGCAGCCTTGATTGTTCCAATGAAGAATGGATGGGGAGAAATAGATGGGTGGTAACTGTTCCAACCTGTGGAGCCACCTACCTGTTAGTCCGTCCCAAGAACAATCCTATTGGTTGCCTATAGGAGTGGGAGGTTACCTATAAGGAGTGGCCAATATTGAAATCTAAAACCTTACTCAAAGGATGGTATCTGGGCAAGTGTGAAAACCTTGGCGTCAGGATGCTCCATTGTAGTGTTGATGAAGCTGGCCATTCTCATTGTGAACCAAATGTCCATTTGGCAGGAAATACCAATGCAGGAACAAAGCAGTGATGTGTCATACATGACCACAAATAATTCTGCAGTGGGGGCTGTCTCTGCTCAAGTTGCTGTTTCTTACTGCTCACAATAATGGAGGTGTGTGCTTCTTCACCAGGCTGGTAACTGTATAGCTGAAACCTTATTTAGAAGGCTTGTGCAGGCACCTTCTATGTTTTACATCACAACAGGTGACTTAAAGTGTACAATTCTCTGAGCCTGTGTGTGTGTGTGTGTGCACAGTCCATTGTGTGTAGCAATAAATATAGTTCATAAAGCAAAATATCAAGTTCATTCTCTAACAGGGCGTAGGCCCCTGTCAGACTGCTCTGTAAGAAAGGCAATATGTCCTTTAGAGTTGGTGAAGATGCCACTATGGTCTTGGCTGAAGCTTCCATCGACCAAAGAGAGGCTGTGAAAACGATAGCACAAGAGAGCTCTCTCCAAACGCTGCCTTCTTCATAGGCAGGAAGAGAAGACTGAAGGGGAGATGGTGGAACTTTAGGGCGGGGTGGTGGTAGAACAATTTCTGGCTGTAGCTAGTGGCTCCAGACAGAAATTGTTCTGCTACCACCTCCCAAATAAGTAAATGTCTTGATTTTAATGTGAATGCCTGCAGGTTGCAAAATCCAGCTGTTTGTGGCACAGACCTTTGAACAGAGCAGGTGCTCTCCCGCCCCAGCACTTGTTTGAATACACAACAGAGTAGTTTCCAGTCTACTCGCCCAACTGAATTTCCACAGATGCCTGCTGCTGTCGTCTATACAGCCTGGTGGCATTTGGCTTTTCTTCCGTGGAAGGCAATCTGGTATTTTGAAAAACTTTTATTTTTAAAATAGAACAACACAAGAAAAATACATAAAAAACACAAAACACAACCTGTGATTCTGATGGAGGGAAAGCTGAGTGTTCAAAAAGGTGGTTTGCTAATGAGGTAAAAACAGGCGTGAAATCCACTCAGTGAATCAGTTCTTGTGATTTAATCCCTTGGAGGGGGGTTTAATATAACCAAGTAGCACTCTATACATTTTACTGCTTCAAAAACTTTAAACAACTATTTAGATTAAGTAGCAAGCACTCCATTAAATCTTGCATATTATTGTTTTCAGTCACACATCTGAACGATCATTAGCTGCAATCATTCTTAACACTTTTAGCACCCTTAGTTGTTTTGAGCTGAAAATAAAAGTTTAGGAGCCCATCTATTCCAGGGGTCCCCAACGTGGTGCCCACATGAGTACAATGGTGCCCGCCAAGTGTCTCTAGAAAGTGGGTGGGGTCAGTTGGAGCCCTTGCCCGGCAGGACACCTGACGGGCTGTGCTTCTTTTAAAAAATACTTTAGCCAGAACCACTACTGCAGTGCTGGTTTTATTCTCTTTCATTCCTCTTTCCCAATCTAATTTTTTTTTTAATTACCCCCTCTTCTCCTCTGTACTTGGGCTTGCTCTGGACGTGGCAGCTATTTTGAGAGCATTTTCAGGCAGCAGAGTCAGAGTTAGCATTTGCTAAATCTGTGCTCCTGCTTGTTATCACGTCTTTATTAGCGGTTTGACTGGCACAGCGCCTTTCTTACTTCTTAGGATTTCCCTTCAGTATATTAAGAACCAAGATTTGGCTGACGAACGTTGTCAAAACGGGACTGCAGCCAGATTCATGCTCCCACTGCTGCAAATATTTCCCCATCATTGTGTACATTTTCTTACTTTTGGCCACATTTTCTAATTTCTGTACATGTTTTGCATCTGCTTGTTACCTGTTTAATCTTCTGTGGAGTAACTAATTGTTAATGTGTTTTTGCCAGTGTATTCAGATTTTGAAATGCCACTGTGCAGTTTTTTGATATTTAACTCATTCCTCTGGAGTAACTCATACTAAAAACTCACAAGCGGCTCCTGCTTCTTGTTTGAACCCAACAAAAAGCCTGTTCAGAGCTATGCACTCTTGACGTGGAGCTGAATTCCCTTTAACTGAGGGGAGGTGTCAAGGAGGCTATTTTGGGCCTCAACTCATGAAAGTTCACAACCAAGGTACACCTTGCCTCAAAGTGTGTGGACTGGGGGTGGGGATTTTAGGACCGATTCTCTATCCTGCTCACACTTCCTACAGTTAGAGTATAATCTGGAAACCAGCCTGTTCCAGATGTTTCTTCAGCATGTCCACCTCAGAACGCAAAGCCCCTTTGGGGCCTTCACAGCAAGCCTCATCATCCATTTCCCTCTTCTCCCAAGATGCCTTACGGACAAATTCTCTGCCCAACAAATACGCTAGGCACCAGCCCAAAGCACACAACTTGTAAAAGGATGCTGTGGGCTGCACCAGCAGAGGTAGAGGAAATACTCAGATTTCTACTCACGTGGGAGTCCAAACAGACACCAACAGTGGTAAATAAAAGCAGTGTGGAATGTGGCTTTTGCACACACCCTTAACCCCCATTTCTCAAACATTTAGTTTACAAAATATGGCCGTACACGCTTTTTTGGCATTTATTAGAACACTTCTATCCCACCTTTCCCCATTGTTCCAGGTGGCTTGAAGTAATAAAAACATTTTTAGTTAAAACACAAAATCACAGAGCAAATTCCAAATCTCTCCCCCTTCCTTAAAAAATGCCTGCCACTAACCCCCCCCCTCAAAAGCTCTGGCAAACAGGCAGGCCTTGCAGCAACTTCTGAAGAAGACCTCTGAGAAGGGACCCCCCCTCACTTCTTCAGGGACCCCATTCCACAGAGCCAGAGGCATGATGGAAAAGGCCCGGGGAAAAGGCCCGGGGGGCTCTGGTGGATGCCAGACAGACCACCCTAAGTGGCGGGAGAGCCAACAAATGGCTGCCTGACGACTGGAGTTGGTGCATGGGGACATATGGAAGGAGAGGATCCTTCAAATATATGGGTCCCTGCTGGCCCCGAAGGACTTTAAAGGTCATAACCAGCACCTCAAATTGGACTTGGAAACAGACTGGCGGCCAATGTCACGGTTTCAAAATTGCTACGAAAAGACCGGGAACACAGCCTAATCAGTAGAAGGGAGTATAAACGCTATTGTAGCCCTAAATCTGCTCTAAAATAGAAACTTTATTATACTAACAAATGTCTAAAGACCAAACAAGAATGATAACAATAATTCTTACAATCAATGTTACAACATAAACATACAACAAAGAATCATAGATGAAACCCGGCTTATAACTTTGAACTGCCCGCAAAAGGAGCCATGTAGTATAAGTTGCAGGGGTGATCTAAATATCTCACAAGTAACGCAGCTCCAGACTCTGTATGCAGCCGTGGAATCAATAATACGTTTATCATGAGACAAGGATGCCGGATGTGACCTTGTTTCGAGATCTTTATCAGCCCTAATGAACAGAAACATTAATAAACTATGATGCTTATACAGATGAAGAGAGAAAAAGAACTTTGGCTATCGGACCTAGATTTAAGCACAATAAGCATAAGGATAGTTCCAATGATTGGTCACAATTATTAATATTGCAGAAACGACAGATCAGATATGCTGTAACCAAGGATCATTTCTTGCCGGAGCACCCCAGAGCGGCGCTCCGGCAGTAAGGAGCCCAGGCCCCGCCCCACACCCGTGGAGAGACTGGGGGGGGATTTAAATGCCTGGGTTCCCTGCCCAACCTTCTCCAGGTGCCCCACAGCCACGGGGCACCTGGAGAAGATCGGGCAGGAAACCCAGGCATGTCTGCCTCCCTGCCCTTCATGTCTCCAGCCAACCTGCTGCGGCTCCAGCTTTTGTGGAGAGCTTCAGGGAAGGGGGGGGGGATTTAAACTCATTTGCATATGCCTAAACTCATTTTAAACATGTCTGCCCTTTGTAAGGGGTGTGGCATATGCAAATGAGTTATGCAAATAAGCTCTTGCACCTCTTTTTCTAGGAAATGACCCCGGTTGTAACATTGTAAGAGTTATTGTTGTCATTCTGGTTTGGTCTTTACACATTTGTTAGTATAACAAAGTTTCTATTTCAGAGCAGCTTAGGGCTACATAGCGTTTATACTCCCTTCTGCTGTTTCAAGATTGACAGCATATTCTTCTGGTGGCTCGTACCCTGACAAATAGTCAGGCTGCTACATTCTGGACCAGTTGCCGCTTCTGGGTTGTCTTAAAGGGCAGGGATCAGGTACGGCGGGCAGAGATGGGAGGTTAACATGCCTGGAAACACACAGCAGCCAACGCACTGACATTGGGGACAAGGGAAGTGTGGTGAGAGACAAGGGTTCAGTCAAGTTGAAACCATCGGCTGGCCTCTCTCCTTGGCACCAGAGCAGTAGTAACACACCTTCAGCTTCTCTTCATACCCCTGAGAACTAGTAACTTATCCTTGGCCTTCAAAGCAGAACGAGACTCTTCAGAATTTGGCATTATGACAAGGGCAGGACTGTGAGATTTCTCGGAGCTCCCAAAGAAAAGGTGTTCACCACACCAGCTGTTTTGCCCAGGACACACTTCGTGGTTCCTCCAATACGCGAATCCTTATAAATACTATAGCAAGTAGATGTTTTTGTCCAAAAGCTGGAGGTCCCAAGCTGTGCGTGGAACCTTTTGGCACAGGTAGAGACGAAACAGAAGAGCTTCTCCGGGGATTCTGAACTGCGCCGTTTTGGTTGATTCTGGAAGCGTCATTAAAAGCCGGCGAGACGTTGCTTCTCGGATGCGCGACTCCCAACAGTGACCTGAGGAAGACTGGACTGAAGCTAAGCTGGCTGCATCAGGCCCCGTCTCGAGACAGCACCAGGCCCCACCCTTGGGCGGGCTTCCAACTGCCACTACAGTGACATACAAGTTCTTTAGGGCAAAGCAAAAAATTGGGAGAAAATGTTCCTGCAACTGAGCATCATCCACTGCCTTTCACAAAGGTCCTGTCCTAAAAACCAGGACAAGTGTACTCCCCGTGTGCCTGTTTGCCCAGAAGTAAGCCTCCTTTTACTCCTCGCAAACCTGTGCAGAATTGCACAGGACATATCGAAAGTGCCTGAGTAAAGGGATGCAATGCTCATCTGCAGGACGAAGAGCGATTCCTGGGCGGGGCCTGCAATGGAAGGGGGTGTTGCTCAGGAGTCGGTGATGCGGCAGCGGACAGAGAAGCATCGCATGGTTCCCAGATGAGGGTGGGGGCTGTATCTTGTACATCCCTCCCATGCTCCAGAGTGTTGGGGAAAAGACAGCATTCAATACAAAAGGAGTCTTTCAAGAAAACAGCTGCCCGTCTCCTGAAGCTTCAGTGCAAAAAACCCCCCCCCCCCCGCAAGTCCTTTTGAGCTGTCACTTCTCAACCACACACCCAAAGTTCTCTCCTCGTCCAAGAAAGTCCTTCAATAAATTAGGGCAGGTAAACGCTGTAAGGGAGAGCAAACTGGGCTCCCTCATTTCTGGAGTGCTCTCCCTCATTTCAGTGTTCAGGTGCCAGGATCAGCAGGGCCTGGAAGAGAAATAAGA